ATACTGATGGCAGACGTCAGAATTTCATGCATTAATAATGGGAGACGTATATTTCGGGAATTGCCTTTAATCAACTCGTTTACCATGAGAAATATGCCATTTATTCGATGCCTTTCCTGCTACTTTTGGCTTGGAATATGTTTCTTTGCGTCGCCCGAGACACTGATCGGCTAACTCCGGATCGGCTAACTCCAGGGCCAATCGAGCCATCATTCTCTTCGGCCGACTATTTAGTACCACTCTTGTCTGGGAGGATAAGCAGGCCCATTTGCCCGTTGACTGACCCCACATTTACGCTTTAGACCAAGTCCAGTCCTGAAGTCTGTACAACTGTGGGAGTGGAATGCGCGGTGCATTCCAAGAAAGGTTTATTCGCAGCTGGCAGCTTCATCCTTTATTTGTAATTTTTAGTGCTAAATTCCCGATATTGTTGACTTACTCTGATGCACTATGTCTCCTCTTATGCTCTTGCTCGAGAATTGCTCTCGACTTTCGAGCTCCCCCCCCTGCATTAACAATACGCGACGGGCACGAGCACGTATTTCCATGGAATATTCGGGAGCATGAGGTGGAGGTGCTGTAGAGGCAAGTGGCGCGCTCACAAGGCATGCGGCACGGGCCAAATCCCGGACTACTCCCACCCAGGCACACCAATCCTTTTGCTCTACGGAGGCGATCAACTCGCTTCCGATTATGGGAAGATAAAAACACTGACTTGTACATGTGCTAGTCCCCGCAAGTTGTGTTAGGCCACATCGCATTCAATATGGTACACGATTCCGAATGAAAGTAGAATGCGTGTCGCAAATGGCTAAGTTTTTATCCTCATTTCTGTGCATAATCTTGGTGATACTGCTCATTTGGTTCTCAGAGATGTACTTCACTTGCTTCTTTCCACACTAGGTCCTGAGTACTCTATTTCAACAACTGACTGGATGAACAGTCACGCTACAGTCAATCAGACGGTCCTGACCTCGGTAATTGTCTACAGTCCGACTAGCATATGTCCATGATTGCATAATGAAATAACGACTAGGTCTAGAGACCGCACGTCAATTATTTCTGTCCGATTTTTTTTCTGCTGGAGAGGGAGACGAATAACGGAAATTCTCACGAGTGTTCAAGAAGAATCTAGTAATGGACGAAGAAAAAATCAGGTGCTTGTTTAGGAATGTGTATTTTTCGATGCGCTGCTGGCCATTTGCTTGTAAAGTATTTATCAAATTTTTTGGGATGGCATGCGCCACGCATTCTACTGTCGGTCGGTCAAACTGTGGCAACACTGCCGTGGTGACTTTCTGAATACAATATACTCTATACAAAGAATTGCTGCGCAGCCTATGCAGAACTCAGTGTTTTTACTCCTCCAGTCCACTCTGGTACTACCTATCGATTCCGGAGGGATAGAAAGGAAAGCTTGGTTGGCTCGAAGGGGAGCCTGTCTGGGTTTTGAGTTTAGATTCCGCACCGCGCTGGTAAACTTCGTCAACTGCCACTACATACCTATGGCCTGGTGAT